TAGGCAAAAGCTACTTACTTGACATGATTTTACCCATTCTCATGTGAATAGTGTGTTTGTAAACCTGTCTACAAGAAATTTAAGAGGAATGATTCTGAGGCCTTATCTACATTCACTTGAGCAATTAGTGTGATCAATTAGTGATGTCTGCCAGGACACAGGAATGGACAGAAGTGGAGGGAATGAGACATGGAAGTATGTCAAGAATACTTGCCACCCTTGATTTAGGCAAAGGTTTTGATGTTTTGTATAGATTTCATGTGAACAAAACCTTATGCAATACATTAAAAGTTTACAGTGAATATGTATGTCCAGATAAAAGTGTGTAGAATCCCATAAGGGACTTAGAGAGAAGTGAAAATGTCTACAATATAAATGCAGATTACCTTTATTACAAAATTGGATCGCCTTCTCATTCCTAGACTAATTTCCTATATCATAAAACCTATATTCAATTTTATAAATAGCATATACCAAGAATCATAAATTTAGTTAATGTAGAAATTTAACAATTTTTTAAATAAAAAGTGAGAAAAAACTGTTTTAGAGCAAGTATCTGAAAGGACAGAAAGGGTTCTTTCTTTGAAGATTATGTTTTTCTCCTCTGACTCTACTTCCCCTGGGACATGACTAAAGAAGAAATAAATTTCACAGCTAATATATATGAAGTAACATGTTTAACATTATCCAATGAATTTATATCTACCTACACCATTTCAATTTATCTCACACAAACTGTCACCTCCAATAGAATTCATTAAAACAATGTTATAGCTATGGAATTAAATGCAATCTTCTAATTGGAATTTAATCTTATAACAGTAGTTGGTGGATCCTCTTTTTTAACTGACAAATGGAATAACTCATTAGTTTCTCTTACAGTTCTGCCTGAAGACTGTGAAAGTGAATTTGACATCAGGACTGGATTAGCCATCCACTACTGTGAAGTACTGGGGAGTGAGGGTGGGGGGCTGGAGTCCTTTCATCATCTTCAGAACTCCTCCTGCTGAGTATGGGCGGGAAAAGGGTGGATACTCTTGGTCTCACCAGTCCTGAATTACTGTATTACCAGCATATTCCATTACCTCCATGTAAATGTCATGTTAATTTCTGATCTTCATTAAGCCACACAATAGTTTCCACCTGGCCCCTAGCCAATTACCTATGGGGAAAATATTTAGCCAATCACATTACTTCTATTACATTAGAAACTGGAAAGAAATGCAAAATAAACATCTCAAAAATACTTCAGAGATAAAATGTAACTTGACAGTGTCTTCGCATGCTGAAGCCCAAGTCATACAATCTGGTAGGCAGCTGCCAGCACTCATAACTGCTTATTAAATCTCACCTTTCTTTATGGCATGAGTGAAGATCTGTATTTTTACCAATATTAGGCTCGTTGTTTTATGAAAGAGACCAAAATACTTAAGATCATTCACTCCAGCCTATAAAACATATTATGTAGTTTATTAAATTGTTAAAATTACTTTTCAAAGTCAAAATTTCAGGGACTGGAAGTTTAAGCACAACAAAGTGCTTGGCCTGCTGAGAGCTACCAACACAAAGCAGCTCAAAAGGAAAACCCACCAGCCTGTTTTCCTGTCCTAAAAACCTGCTACCTGTCCCCACCTCTTCCTGGAAGCTATACCATCACTGCCACCCCACCTCAAAACCAATGACAAAAAAATCCACAATCTTGAGTTTTATAAAAAAGCAAAAACTCCCAGGCAAAGAGTAGCTAGCCCGTTATCAAGTCCTGGGAAAAATTATTTTCCTTGTTCTACCTCTTCCTAGTGGTTTAATGCAAAGTATTTTATTATAAGAGTGAACAAAAGAGGAACTGTGGGCAAATAAGGAAAAACAAGTGGTAACAAAACAATGTCACATGATGCTCACATTCTTACACCAGACCCACCAGCAAGGCACACATATGGACAGTGCAACACCAAGGCACAGAATGAAAAACAAGCCAGCACACTTGCCGTCTGTAGTCAACTCTTCTCAGGAAAACTCTATGCAAATTCAGACTGTTATTATCACATTTATTAATAACACTGTGGTTATATGACTATTACATATGCAGCAGACTTAGTCACTCTTCACTCTTGGGGTCTTGTGATGTGCATCAGACAGGTATCAATGTCAGCTACAGCTTTATGCCAGGGAAGCGCTAACTATCTGCTGGAGAATGGCAACATGAAGGAACCATGACACTAACAGAGACCTCAGGTGCTTGACCCATCTTTCTCTGTAGCCTGACCCCAAGTTAATTTGTTATGCAGGCATGATTACCACCAACATAAATTAAATACATTACCTATTTTCTGAGTTTAAAACTTTGCCATAATGACCTATTTGTGGAAACCTTGCACTGTTTCATCTCCTTGGATTTGAGTGAGGTGAGTGGTTGTTCTGGCTGCTTAACCCTATGCCTGTGACCCTGTTCCACCATGAGGACACTTACCATGACATATATCACTCAGAATTAGAGTTTATTTAAAACCTAAAGACTCCAAATTATCAGCTGTAACAATTAACTGGTGCTTCTTTTGGTTATTCAATAAACTGTAAAGTTCTAAAAACCATAGGACTATGGGTACAATTTTGACAGTAGGGCTAAACTAGCTGTCAAATACTCAGTGCACACAGCCAAGTTACACATCATGGAGAAAGAGAATTACTACTTTCAGTAAACCTGAAGGTGTGCTCAGAGACGCAGGGAGGATGGAGAATCTGAACACGCTGCAGTTCACTGGGTTTCAGGGGCCTCTACTTCTTACTGACAGTTTAGTGAAAAGGCATTTATTATAGTCTGATAAATACAAAGCACTTCCATATTTATATAAACTGGTATTCTACTGGGACTAACAGTATATTTTTTCCAATTCAAAGGAGATAACATTCTCATTATAGTAGTTCGGATTGATTTTTCAAATAGTAGGTCTTACCCAATGAAATTAGTTAATAAAAAAGTGAACCTAGTCTTCAATAAATCCATTCATGTGGTTTTGTTAAATTTCATATATCAATTTTATGAGAGTGAGATTAAGCCAGACTCTTTCAATACTAAAGACAGAGATGACAGGTAACCTCAAACCTGAGTTTTTGCTATTTCAATACCTTCAGAATTCCAACCACTTCTATGACTTCTCAAATGTGCATATGAGATAGACCCAGGCTTTTTTCTCAACTCTACCTGGATTCTGGAAGATACAATTTTTCATAATATATGCTATCTGCTCACTAGTCTACAGACCATTCACAAAAGCCTGGCATAGCTGTGTAGCAATGGCAAAACCTCAAAAGAACTTCATAGATGAGAAAGTGGAAAGACTTGCCCAGGACCACCCAGTAAGATGGTCACAGTTCTCTAACACATCTAAAACCCCATGACTCTATCAACCATTTCTTTTCATTGTGGTATCCTTTCCTTATGTGTTACTGTTTACTACTTGCCTTACTTCTTGCCAGTGAAAGAAAGAATACTGTAAGGAACACAAAAAAAGACTTTTCCCCTCTATCTATAGTCCAGCAGAGCTTACCGCAAAGGACAAGTAGTGAGATAAAGTGGCCTGTGTGAATCTCAGAGCCCACAGGGCTCTCTGCAGATCATGTGGTCTGTAACATTTGGGCTAGCGGCTTCTCTAGGGCTCTTTTATTTTTCATCCATAAAATGGGAAGGATTTGTCAAAATGAGCTCTAAATTGTAAAAATCTTTAAAAATATGGCCCAAATAGCTGAATGCATAACGAGATCTTAGCAGAAACACTTACCAGAAAAGCTTTATTAAACTGCCTGGGCTTCATTTCTCAATCTCTAAAATTGGGATAACATAGAAAGAATCAGTGATTGAGGAAAAAAGGAGCCCAGGGACTTTTAACCTCAAACTCAATGGGCTTCAGCAGCTCCATTTGTAAGGTGACAGGACTTCATAGACAATTTCTAAGGCCTTGTCAGCCTCACAAATAGGACACTCTAATCTAACTGCTTTATTTTAAAAATAGGAAATCAAAACAGAGACTAAGTTGCCCCATGTCAGGTAGCTAATAGATCTTCCTGTTTCCAGTATAGTACTGTTTCAACTTCACTTAATTTCCCTCCATTAATTTGAATCTGTCTCAAATACCAGTTCACTAAAACAAAGAAGAAGAGGTTATGCCAATGGTTCTTCCCATTAAATGCCATTCAATACAAAACCTAAAACCAAATAATTTCCATGAGGTTGACTTCATTCTATGACAAATCTACCACTGAATGAGGTCAGAGTGTTTACCCAAAAGACCTGGCCTCAGTGTATTATTGTCTCTGGTAAAAGCAAGTCACAATTGCTTGTTCATTACTACTTAGGAGCCATCAATTTCTGAGGAGCATGATAGATGCATTCAAATAACAGAAAACACATGTAACAGAAAATGATCATCACATTCTTTCTAACCTCTCCCTAAAAATTACAATAAATAAACTGATAAGGTAAACTATGCTCTTTAGTCTTTCTGAAAATCTTTGAGCACCCAAAGTTCCCAACCCTTTAGCTTTCTCAAGACTCCTACTCATGTGGAAGACTTGGGATGGGACCTTCTCAATTGAACAAACTAGATGTAAAACATCCCAAAACTCAAGATAGGTCATTATAGTCTTATTTCATGGTGGTTCATTTTATCACCAAATGATTCTCTTTCAACTGTGCATGTGGCTCATAATTTAGACACTCCACTCTTAAGAGCATGATTAAAAGAAACATGTAAGCAAAAAAACATTCTCCTGTGTCCTATGTGCCATTTATAAATCCTCAGATCACTGTATGGGTTATCCAAAAAGACTATAGCAGAAAACAATGACAGAGTTTGTCCTTCCTTTGAAAATGAGAATCTCTCAACCTCACTGCCATTGTTCTGATCAACTTAAGACTTTATCAGTTTCCTGCACTGTGTAGGATCCCTTCAGTTGACTTTTTGTCTTGAGAATTTTCAGATGAGTAATCATAAATGTTCACTCACCCTGTCAGCCAGCAGGCATCACATCCACCCATTCATAGTTGACAGCAAATCAGAGAAGGGATTGAAGCCCTCACCATTGCCCAAATGTTCTGTTTGGAAACTGGAATTGCCAGCAAAAGCTCCTGGAACACTGCAACAGAACAATATTTTTTACACATAACTAAGATGTACCTTCTAAAACCACCACTTCCTTACATTTGAAAACAGCAAGACAGACATAGAATCTAGAGGTAGGGGAAAACACCTTTCAAAGGAGGAGATGTCAATATTAAGTGTGGTGCTGTAAAATAGGAACCGGAAATATTGTTTTGAAACATATGTTTACCAATTACTTCAATACACACATTGAAAGGTTGTTGTTTATTGCAGACTTTGTGTCAAATATTTTACATATTCTGACATTACCAAAATATGTCCCACTATAAAATGCTCAAAACAGTAAGTTATTTTAACTCAAATCTTACATGGATTAATGTAGTGCCATTTTCTATTAATCAATTATTTTTTCCAGAGGATGAAAAACATAAAAGTATTAAATAATAATAAATTAAAATTATTTTTAAATATAATGAACACCAAAACTAGTAAAAATAGGAACCATAATCATTTTTTGCTCCAAAATAATTCTAAAAATGTTTATGAATTACATAGGGAGAAAGACTTATGGAGATATTTCCATCAAGGGAGAACATACTATGTAAGTACAGGCATCAAAGTGAAGAAGCCTGAATTCTGAAACCAATACTATCAATAATCAATTGTGTGGCCCCAAGAAAGCCAATTAAACATCTCAGGATTCCAGTGTCTTCATTCATGGGGTTAGGCATTTACTAATGCTCCCAAGTCCCTTCCACCTCCCAGCTTCTCTGTCATTTCTGGTAAATCATATGTATTTCAAATAGCCTAAACTATCAGTTTCAGCTTTAAGCTTCTTGATTAAAATGATTTTTACCACGAATCACTCTTAGGCTAATCTGCAATCAACACCAAAGATGTGCTATGAGCAGAAGGTGTGCACATGCATGGAAGATGTCTCATGCTGTTACTAATGCAGAACCTGGTGAGCTGGCTCCCTCGATGGCTGACAGCATCCTCTGGGTGCCCATGGAAGACTTCCATTCCTCTGCAGAGAGTACAGCTCCAACTCCCATAGAAACCTGCCCCAATGTATTGTATTATAGATGAGTGTTTCTCAGTCTTAAGTGTGTATAAGCGTAACTTGGAGAGCTTTTAAAATAAAGATTCTGCCTTGGCTGGTGTGGCTTAGTGGACTGAGCCCTGACCTGCAAACCAAATGGCTGCCAGTTTGATTTCCAGTCAGGGCACATGCCTGGGTTGCAGGCCAGGCCCCCAGTAGGTGGTTGCGTGAGAGGCAACCACACACTGATGTTTCTCTCCCTCTCTTTCTCCCTCCCTTCCCCTCTCTCCAAAAATAAGTTAATTAATTAAAAAAAATAAAATAAGATTCCTAGGTCTCATACCCAGAGTCTGGTTCAGTTGTTCTGCAGTGTGGCCTGAGATTCCAAGGCACAGAGAGCTTCTCCAAAACTCTGAGCCACATAGCAAAAAAGAAATGGCCTGAGTTGGTTGCCATCTTTGGGATAAAATCCAAACTTCCTTCTATGACCTAGAAGGCTCTGCATAATCTAGCCACTTTCTACTTTTCTGATGGCACCACTAGCCACCAGCCCAATCACCAATTCTAACACAGATACAGTGGCCTTCCTTCCATTTCAAGCAAGCTAAATGTTTTCCTGCCTCAGCACTGGTGCACTGCTTTTCCAGCTACTTATAATGCCACAAGCCTATTCTTTACCCAACTAACACCTTCTCGTCACTGGGTCTTAGAGGCAAAAGCTACCTCAAGAAGGTTGACCTGTCTACTTACTTAAGCTAGGTCCCCAGTGACTCTCAATGACATTATCCTATTGCTTTTTCCAGAACTCTTGTAATAACCAATAAACTTTTTAAAATCAATTATTCACTTGTCTTTCTCACTAGAATATAAGCTCCACAATGTAAAGGAACCTCTCTATTTCAGTCATCACTATACTGCACAACTTCATAGAAATGCCTCACTCATAGCGGGCACTCAATACAGGTTTACTAAGTCAACAAATAAATCAACAATTGAAAGAATTAATTCTTCTGTGTCCTATAAAAACACAATCACCATTTATTAAAAACTCACTACATGCTGGATATTGTTTTAAGTATTTCACAACAGTTATTTCATTTAATTTTATTCTTACAACAAAGTTCTTAGCTCTTATAAGCTCAATATTGCAGTAAGAAAAGTGAGACACAGAAATTTTGAAATTTGCCCCAAGATCACACAGTAGCAGGGGCTTGCCTCTACAGAACATGTGTCATAAGAACTCCGTATTTTTCCAGTCAATACACTAGTACAAAAATTCTGAGAGCTTACCTTGTACTAGACACCCTTCTGACTCAAGCTAGCTTCACTGAGTTTTGGCTGCAAGCCCTTGTGGAGGATACTTAACCTTTCTGACCCTTTTTCATTCATACAGGGAAAGCTAAGGCATCCATACCGACCAAGCAGATAAAGCAACTGAGCAAAGTAGGCCAGATGTGAGGCAGGTCTGAGGTATGAGGCAATGAGGAATGTGAAAAATGGGGAGACCTATGCTTTCTCAGCTGAGAGGGCAGCAGTACAATTCACAGGCCACATGAGAACACAGCCCAGGGGTTCCAGATCTTTCAAGCCTACAAATGAAGGTTGTAAACCAGATTATTATTTTGTGAAATTTCATAATTTTTCAAAGATAGGAGCTAATCTTTTAATAGTATACATTAGTGAGAGAGAGAAACCCTCAGCCAAATGATGATGAGGTCAGGTCCTGTCTCCAGGTCTGTGATTCCAGAGGCATGCAGCACAGAAAGGCTGGACAAGCAAGTACAGAGAAACACAGGAAGGGGCTGAGTGGGTGGAGGCTTTCTAGGGGAATTATCTTCAGCAAGTTTTGGAAGGAAATGGAAGATGAGGTGGAAAGGCATTCCATAAGATCAAAATATGGTATTCAAATGGCTTGGGAGTGGGTAGGGTAAATCATCCGAAAGAACAGCAGTGAGGACAAAGACCAGTGCTTTAATTTTCATTCACATTGAAGAAGATGTCATTTCTAGCTAACACATAAAGTTTGTCAAACAATGCTCTAAGAGTATGAACATTAGTGCTATCTTGCTTGTTTTCCAAAAATGTTAAAGTATCAAAAATAAAGGACAAACTACCATTGTGTTTTGCAGAATGTTTTTGTTTGTACTTGTGTTTTCATGCAGGTCCAACAGACCCAGGACTGAATTCTATCTCCACCAACTCTGTAACTGTAACCAAAATACTATATAAACTATATTATAGTTTTTATATGTGTTTATAGTATACAATAAAGTGCACAGTATATACATACACATATACTATAATGCATGCATACATATATTTACATACTATAAAATATAAGTTCTATAATCTAAACCAAAATACTATGTAAACTATATATACTATAGTTTTTACACTTAATATTTATATTATAAAATGTACATTATATACATACATATGTACTATAAAATACAAGTTCTATAATGCTAAAACTCTGAGCTTTAGAAATAAAAAATATAGCAATTAAAAAAAATTTTTAAACCACCAAAAGAGAAGGTGGACATCCAAATAAATTATCCAGAACACTGCTCAAAGGCAAAAACTGTACCTGGAATTATATACTGAAAAAAACTATCCTTCAAAACAAGAATGAAACAAAGATCTTTTCAGGCAAACAGAAGTTTATTACCTCTACAAGGACATCCAGAAAAATGTATTTCAAGCCAAAATAAAGCGATTTTAGGAAGAACATTCTCAGATTTAAAAAGGAAAGTGGAGCCAAAATAATGGAGACCTTGTGAGTAAACAAAAAGTAAATGCATTATAATGATGTACAGATCTTAAAATAAAAAAAAAATAAAGTATGGCAACACCATCATTTACACTCCCCACCCCCTTTCCCTGGCTCCCTACACACTGTGGCAGCATCCATCACCATGGCCTCGGATGCAACCTAGGTGTGCTACTAGGGCTCACTTGAAGTGCAGCTTCCTGCTACACAGTCCAGAGTCTCGACCAGGTCCCAAGAATCTGAATTTCTACCAGATGACCCAGGTAATTCTGATGAAGGTGGGGCCTTGCCTCCAGTCTGGAGAGCAGCACTGCTCTTAACCACTTAGAGTCAGGAATCCAGTTGAGGGACAGGAACCCAGCCCCAGGAAGTCTTTTGCTCCTTTCCAGTTTGCCAGAGCAGCAGAGTCCCCAAGAACATCTTGGTTTAGGGGGTCAGCAGTGACATGGCTTCAACCCTGAGAATCAGGAACTGCAATAAATTAAAAGCCCATTAAAATATCTTATAGGAAACCTTGAAGTGCTGAAACATTCATAGTGCCATAGTCAATCTTTGAAAAGCCAGATTACCATCTTGGGAGTCCTTAGAAAGAATGAAGCTTTCTTCCTTTTCAATTTACCTATTTTTAAATGCATATATTCTCACAGTGGCTACCACACAGGTTTGCAAAGTCCAGTGGACTTTCTAGGTCTAACCCTGGAGACAGAAGCCTAGGATGCCACAGGGCCCTGCCTTGTTTTTTAAAGAAACCTGTGGTTACAAAACAACTCCAGAAAAAAACAGGTAGAGGTAGCCACAAAACAACAGTGATATTTTCTTGTTTTGTTCTCCCCAGTTTATTTTTCCCTGAAGCAATCCTTGCTTGGTACAAAAGTCTGCCGGGAGCTGCAAAAAGCAGCTGTGGTTCCCTGAGGCCAAGACCTAGCAATCAAGTTGTTTCCCAAACACTGCCAGGCATCAGGGAAACAACAACAGAAGAGGCAACATTTGCATCTGTTTTTCAAAAACAACCTCCAAAAGTCTGTGGCCTGCCTTGGAAAACTTGGACATTAAAGGCACAATGGCATGTTGGGTATTGGCCCCCAGGGTCCACATGTAATGCATTATTTCACTTCTTTTGACGAATGCCTGTCTCCAAAAGGAAGATTGGAGGTTTACAGTTTCAAGCAGAAGACTGATATAGACAACATGCTAGTCACTGGTATTTCCAAGCAAGCTAATA